TCATGATATTTTTTTAATTTTTTTTTTTTAAATATTTCTTCCATTGTAATATGCATGTCCTGTCTTGCTTTGATCTCTTTCATGAGACACGAAAATAATTTGCATTTTCTTAGCCTACATACATAATGGAGGGGGCCATAGGGTGCGTCAAAAAAAATGAAAGTCTGAAATGTTCCGCTCCCCAGGCGGCAATCGATGACGTTTGGTAAAAAAACATGTTTGCCAAAATTTGGGCCAATTTCAACCATTTTAAATGGTGCCAAAGGTCAATTTTGTGATGAAATTATGATATTTTGGTTTAGACCTCGATTTCGTACAAAAAACTCGATTTTACGCTGAAATCGTGCGTTTACGACAAAAATGCCAAAGAACTCGACTTGTACAGGATGAAATTTTACACTAGGAAGACGTCTTTGTAACCGATAAAAATCAAATTGAACTAGAAAAACTCAACTCGGTATTTATTTTTTTGGTCCTCAGAATTTCCGAGGTCTTAGAAAGTAGAGGTTTAAAAGACTCATTTTTCACGAAAATAAGTCGAAAGAGGGTGTAAATGAACTGTAGGCAAGTGTTGAGGATGCAAATGTCATCAGAACTTCCTCAGTTTCAAAAAAAGTTCCAACTATTTTGCACAATCCTCCAAAAAGTGCACGGCTCGAGAAGCAGGATCGTGCTATAATAGTAAGGGGAAAGTGCGGTTTGACCGGGAAAAATTGCGTAACAAACTTTCCCTATGTAATCGTCATCAGTAGGTCCCCCTGAACAACTTTCTAAAAGTTAAAAATGGCCCGACCCCGGAATACCCCTCAAAAAAGTTAAAATTGAAAATGGCGGCCGTAATGAGAGGGTCCGGGAAATCGGTATTTTAAAATGCTCATTCTGTCTCATCATGTGAGGTATCATTTCCTATGTAATTTTGGTCGTAGATTTCATAAATGAATTCCACAAGGCCCTCCGGCCAAAGGGGGCGCTCTAAATCAAAGATGGCGGCCAAATATGAAAGGCAGGAGGTTGCATTTTTTTAAATATTCACCGAAGGAACAAGGAAAGTGAATTGTCTTTATTTTCATGTATTTATGGCCAAGAAACTTAAATTTGATGTTATAAATGTATTTAATAAAGGAAAATAAAGGAAACATACGACTACCGAGAGAAACGTAAGCTTAGAAGGGGCCTTGCGGAATTCATTCATGGAATCGACGACCAAAAGTACATAGGAAATGATACCTCACATGATGAGACAGAATGAGCATTTTAAAATACCTACCGATTTCCCGGACCCTCTCATTACGGCCGCCATTTTCAATTTTAACTTTTTTGAGGGGTATTCCGGGGTCGGGCCATTTTTAACTTTTAGAAAGTTGTTCAGGGGGACCTACTGATGACGATTACATAGGGAAAGTTTGTTACGCAATTTTTCCCGGTCAAACCGCACTTTCCCCTTACTATTATAGCACGATCCTGCTTCTCGAGCCGTGCACTTTTTGGAGGATTGTGCAAAATAGTTGGAACTTTTTTTGAAACTGAGGAAGTTCTGATGACATTTGCATCCTCTACACTTGCCTACAGTTCATTTACACCCTCTTTCGACTTATTTTCGTGAAAAATGAGTCTTTTAAACCTCTACTTTCTAAGACCTCGGAAATTCTGAGGACCAAAAAAATAAATACCGAGTTGAGTTTTTCTAGTTCAATTTGATTTTTATCGGTTACAAAGACGTCTTCCTAGTGTAAAATTTCATCCTGTACAAGTCGAGTTCTTTGGCATTTTTGTCGTAAACGCACGATTTCAGCGTAAAATCGAGTTTTTTGTACGAAATCGAGGTCTAAACCAAAATATCATAATTTCATCACAAAATTGACCTTTGGCACCATTTAAAATGGTTGAAATTGGCCCAAATTTTGGCAAACATGTTTTTTTACCAAACGTCATCGATTGCCGCCTGGGGAGCGGAACATTTCAGACTTTCATTTTTTTTGACGCACCCTAAGGGGGCCAAGGTTCACACCAAAACAGTGAGTAGAACATTGAAAAAAAAGTTGCGGGCTATATATATAGACATACCGTCCGTTCCGGGCTCGGAGGCCAAAAGTTCCGGGCGTTGGAGCCGTGGCTTCGATTGCTCCGGGTGCTACGCCCGGAACTTTCTTCCACCGAGCCCGGAACTCGGACGGTATGTCTATGTAGCCCGTAAGTAAGGCTTCCAGGGCCGGAGTTTTTTTTTTCTGTGAAGGTGTCATCTAAGACCGTGTTTTTTTAACACTTGTATTTCTATAAGTATTGAACATAAATTCTTGACGTTTGGAATGCCGTGACATTTTTGCTATTCTGAGGAGCTCAAGCAAAAGACGATTGCATGACATGCGCAACTGACCCACCGATTCCTGAGCGGGAGCGTAGAGGGCTCCATTATGAATTAAACTTCACATTCTGCCTTAACCGCTTTGTGAATACTGTCACTTGAAAGAGCCCTTCAGTGGGACACCGCGTAGCGTCGCACACAGGATCGAGTCAATGAGAGAAGTTAGACAAAATCCAGAAACTGGGAGAGCTTATATTTTCGAGAATACGAAACAAAGAAGTTCAAGAGTAGTGCCATTGGTTTTTTCGTGAAATTTCCTTTCAGCTCCACTTCTTGAAATTGAATTTGTGACGAAATAAGCATCAAAATTTGAAATTTTAATCAGAACCTTCATGTCCGAGCTCTTCTAAGAGCCCGTTCCACTGTGCGTCGCTGCCATTGCATGAAAGCAAATGACGAGAATTGTTGTCAAACTCGGACGCGGAGCGCAAGTAGCCGAGGATGACAGGATCAGATGCCCGGCCGGGCGCGCAGCGGGACCGGGGAAGGGAGTCCACGAATAAATAAAACGAAACGTCGAGCCAAGGAGAAGCGGGCCGACAACGAAAACAAACTGAAATTACAGATTTGATGGGCGGGACCGTAAAAATATGATAGCTGACGGAGAGGTTAGGTCACCGGTGTCGGCCCCCGACACCTGTTGCCTTGATAGCGCTCCTCGTAGCTAAACAAGAAATAACCATTTCATTATATTTATATTCACATCTCAGAACAGCTCTTTTTATGCGCTTACTCTGTTGGCTAATATTTCCCCCTCTCCCAACTTAGATTAAGGAGATAAGATATTTCCCTGTCATATCTTTGTAGACCATTTATTGTCTTAACGTAGTGACATTGTTTTTATTACTTTCTTAGTAGGTAACATTGAATGAATAACTTTAAAAAAAAATCTCAGAACACCTCTTTATGCGCTTATTCTGTTGGCTTATATTCTTTTCCCGCGTCGGAATCAGCGAGTGTCTCTTCATGAGCCTCGCCGATAAATCACACAGAGAGGGATGGACGAGACGGTATGACGTCATCTTCTAAACGGAGGAACGTAACTAAATTTCAACGTTGCAAAATTTCCAATAGCAATAGTATGTTTGCACTTGGAAACGGTTGAGTATCTAATTAATCATTTCTGTAATGTTTCTTCTAATCGAGTGCCAAAATCAGTAAAATATTAGACAGACATTGCAATTCTACTCGAGTCAAAATCGGAATTCTCGAGTTGGTTGTGCAACGTTGGAATTGAGTTACTTTTCTTTGTTTGAGCAGCGACGTAAAAAGAGAGACATCGACACACGGAAAAAAAAATTACGGGCTACACATACCGTCCGTTCCGGGCTCAGAGGGCGGAAGTTCCGGGTGCTGGAGCCGTAGATTTGACTGATCTGGCTGCTACGAGCTACACCCTTAACTTTCGGCCTACGAGCCCGGGACGCGGACGGTAGGTCAATATAGCCAGCCTCCACGGCCGAAGTTTTTTATTCAGTGCATTGAAGAGGAGCCTAAACTTACGCGCGTAGGGTCCTCGCAGGTTACATCCTATTTTTAAGTGCCTTGACTATAGATTACAAGTTGAAGAACAATTTCCTCAAATTTTCATTTTAAAGTTGTGCGATTGAGCTCAAATTGATCTTAAACGACGCAGAATTAGCTTACTTCTGTTTAGCCCTTGGTTTTCGTTGCTCAAACCACAATTTTCCCTCAAGATTGTGGCGGTACTTGGATGCACCATAGAGATGGCACCACTGGCACCCTGCTTTCGAATGATTCAGCTCATATTGGTCGCAATCGACGCAGAATTATTAGCTCACCTTTGCTCGGTCCTTCGTTTCTGTTGCCCACTTCTCAATTTTCCCCTAAAATGGTTGGTGACATTTTGAAGTACTACAAAAGCAGCACCTTCATTTTGTCCGATCGAGTTTATACTTTTTTTTGGTCGCTAATTCTATCTATTTCTGGTGACACTGTTATTTTTTGCGTAGAAACAACATTTTGAGAGTTAAAACTGCTTGCGGAACGAGTGAACAGTGCAAAAATTTGAATTCCTCAGTGTTTGCACAGATACAATGGGAATTATTAAAATTAAATCCTCATTGATTTCAACCTAGGAGACGCTTTGCATTTCCTTTTCTTTAATATTTTTACCACTGAAAAATGTTCTTTTTTTTCTATCAATGATTTGATGTTTCTACATGATCTAAGGACGAGATCTGCCACTGTCTACGTTGCGCTTTTATGTGTCTTCGAGAAGCCATAATAATTGTAATTTACAAGTTAATGTGAGGACTCATCCACAACGTGTATCAGGATTAATACAGAGTAGTCTGTGACGTCAAATTGGCTCATTGGCTCAAGGTGTAAGGGAGAGGTATATTTTAACGCCTCCGACCTACTCTACCTTACACAACGAGTCAATGAGCGACCTCCGTAATGGTAGTTTTCCATATAAATTTTCAATGAGTTTTTACCTAGGTGTCATGCTAATTCGTATTAAAGCTGCTACACATTATTAAGCAGTTTTTCGCATTAATTTGTGCATTAGGATAATAATTGCTCCTTAAACACACAGACCGTGTGTAAAGTGGTGCATCTCGTCTCTAGATCACTTGGAATCAACGAAATTGCGATTGAAAAGAAAAAGTAAAAATTTAAAGAAAAATAAAATTTTATTTATCTCATAGTCTAATTTTTAACATAAAGATAGGTAATATCCACAATTTTGAACGATATTTACATTGATTTTACATAAATATACATTAAAAAGGAAACAGTAAAATTGGAAGATACTATCACGATAGCAAGAATAAAATTTGACACGCCTCAAAAATACAGACCTAAACAGATATATATCACAAAAGTATATTTGCTAGAAACATAAGCATTGATTTATGACTGTACAATGATTTTCATACTATCGAGCCATATGATAAATAATTCGACCTGACGATTAAATCAAACTATTTTAGATTGGAAACAGCAGATGATGTTGCACATCGAATATTTTTTTCTCCTTTTCTTGTTGTAATGGAGTTTTATTGATAAATGATAAGGTTTACAGGTTGATTTCTATACAAGTTTTGATAGATTTTAATATACGGCTCAAACGCTTAAAAACAAATAGTAAATTGGTTCACTATGGTTTAAAATTTACACCAATCGCTAGTGAACTCTACCGCACACCATTCCAGCTTCGATGCCACTCAGTTGGCCGTAATATGGATATCCAGATTTTGCTTCAGATGGTGAATTTGGAGTCAAATTATTCCCCGCCGAAGCTGAATATACTTGACTTGTTTCAGAGGCGAAGAGACTGCTGTGAACAAAAGAAAAAGGGAAACATATAAATTTTAGATCAAAACAGAGGGATTCACACAAAGTTTCAGAAATGGACGAATTTACACGCAAGAAGTCTTATTTTCATAGACTAGCTGACTGTCCTCAGTTGAACTTTAAAGTTGCTAACGCAGAGTAGAATCGCACGACTAGACCTGAGATTTGAAGAATTAATCTTTCCCCCTCCCCTTCCTCCCCTCTTTCCTTGGTCCTTTGGGACCAAAGGATCTCCAAAGAGAACAAAAGGAGGATTTACAACGCGATTGTCAAGAGCATAGTAACCTACGAGTGTGAAGTATGGCCGATGAAACAGCGGACCCGGGAGGTTTTAGAGGCAACAGAGATGGACTTCTGGCGTAGATCCGCTGGTATTTCCAGAAAGGATCGCGTCAGGAATGAGACGGTACGGGATATCACGGATGCCAAGCAGACCATCGTGCATGACATTATGACAAAACAACTCATTTGGTATGGTCATGTCCAGAGAATGGCAGGAGACAGGTTGCCGAAGAAGGTCCTTGACTGGGTTCTTCCTGGGAGAAGACGCAGAGGGCGCCCAATGAAAGGTTGGAGGGACGGGATTGAAGCAGAAATGTTGAGGTGCTCAATCCCCCAAGATTTGTGGTTTGAAAGAGAGCAGTGGAGGTTAGGAGTCGTAGAGCGCGAGGGAGTGCTGTAAAGCGACTTGTATGTATGTGTAATCTTTCCCCTCTCTCTCTACTATGAGGAATGCGAATGAAATGAAATGAATGTGATGAATGTTAAACAAATCAGCCGTTTGTGGGTGTCAAGTGCTCTGGGATGGAAATTGAAGGATGATGAATTCGAGAATGGAGCCGTTTTCAATTAGAAGAACGTCGCCTGGAGCCGCCTCCCAACTGGTTCGCGAGAATTTTTCAAGTAATTAACGTCGCACGCGAGATAGGGCGGACAGTTGGAGCCACTGTTTCAACGAGAGACCAGTGTATATTACGAGTCTCCCACTTGAGTCATGGTGCTGCGTTTCAAATTGAATCAATAGAAAAACCCTCCTGCTTTCCAGTTCCATTACCTATCTTTTTGCGAAGGATCAAAGAAGCTCGTATTTAAATTACAATGGCTCGTGAATCAGTTTTATGGAGTGCTTTTTTCATGGTGCAGTCTTTGAGATTCGAAAATTATAATAAGATGTAATTCGACAGCAGACTTTATGTCCATGTTCAATAACAATAGAAATCCGAACTGCTTCCGATAAAATAGAGCATGATACCTTTCACCCTACGTTTCTATCGCGTATATATGCGGTTTCTGCATTGATATAAAAATAATGCACGTGGGGCCGCCAATCATTTTTTAACCATTGACTAATTGTTGAAAGTACAGTAACCGCGATACATGCACTACTAGGTAAGATGAATGCTTTTTTTATGACGACATCTCTTGTGACATTGGAAACCCTCCACAAATGAAACTCTGCATTCATACAGGTCTAATTATTTTATTCGACTTATCACTTAAAAGCCTATGTTTTCCTCCGCTAAATATGAAGAGAATAGTTAAAACCAGAGTCAAATAACCCTTGAAAAACCGTTTGATGTATTAAAACTGTTTCTCATGAGCTTCTCGGGACGTGCGTGTTCCGAGTGAATTAGATTGTTGCGTTTATTTTCCTACCCTTGCGTTAAAGTCTCCTACTCAGTCAGTAGCGCCACACGCCACGTGTCACGCAAATGGTTTTACGAGGTCGTGTTTTAGAAACAACCGAACACTTTGAGCAGGCAGAATGCTCTTGAGTCTATTTTTTTTTTAAAAAAAACCCACCTTAGCACGTAACACGATTTTTTTTAACCTTTCCTCTTTTTTCTCAGTTTGAAATACAGTTTTCATTTATCGCTCAAGGTAACTTATTTGCATTGTTCGGTTGAAAACTACAACAGGTGCCAGTGAGATGGACTATTTTTAACCCTCTATAACAAGAATCAGTTACTCAAAAAAAAAAAAAAAAAAAAAAACTTAATGAAAATATGATGCAATTTTTAAAAACTCAAAACATACGTTGTTACGAATTCGTAACGCGATGCCATAGAGTTGATGCAATCTAATTTTCATGTATTTTTTACGATAAAACCTAAAAATTTGGCCGTTAGAGAGATCTTATATCATTCATCTATATCATTACGTTCATAATATTCGACCATTAATGCGCACGAAAAACTTTTACCTCTCCCTAAGATTTGGTCGAATAGACCCTCATTGAGGCTCACATTCCTGCACCGAGGAACGGAACATTTGCTCTTGAAGCCTTCATAAAAATGAGGCCCCTATGGTGGGGGGGCTAGGGATGGGAGGGGGTAGAAATTTGCCTCCTCCGATGCTCCGAAGGACCATTACTATCTCTGTCAGCGATTCGGATAATTGGAGAAGTAAATTTCTCCGTCTGGGCGGTCGAGCTTATTGCATTTCCGACGAGCATGAGTCTGGCGCCCGTTGCAGCGTGGCCATGCGCCGCGCGGCCGCCGCGGACGCCGTGGCTGACCCAAAAGCCGGCTCGCGTAGCTCCGGTAGCCGCCCTCTCGCCACCGGAGTAATTGCCCCTGCCATAATTGAACGTGTCACTCCGATGAAATGTTGCCGGTCCTGGAGCCTCCATCGCTTTGTTTGTTTGCTCGCTACTCTCCGGTTGTTTGCTTTCTTTCCCGCCTCCTTTCTCCTCTCTTTCTCGCCTCCGTGCATTCCTCGTCCCACCCACGGGTAGAGGGGGGCTGTATAATTAGCGAATGCACATGCATGCGGAATCGCTGACATGATACCGGATATTTTGTCTTTTGATTCGAGACGAGCCTTCCGCGAAGTTTGCCGTTTGTTTTCGAGAGCCTGAGGTATGTTCTTGTATGTATACTCCCTGTAGGGAAAAGGGGAGGGGGGAGAAGGTTGCGTGTTCAAATCACGTCGGGGTCACCAAAAACTGTAGGGAAAAGGGGGAAGACATGAGAATAACGACAAGATAGATGGATCAGAGGAGCGTATGTATGAAGACGAGAAGAACAGGGAGACAAGTGAAGCCAAGTAAAGGGTGCGTTACCATAGATACATATGCAATATACAGGCGAAATCGTACACTCCCTTTATTTTGTTCGTTGGTTAATATTTTTATGTTCATGACTGACAGCACCTAGGCTATTTTTGTCTTTTTTAAACTCGCGTAGATCACAACTTCATTGCAATGTGGTATAAGTTCATATTTATGTCTCGGGCAATTAGCAATCGCCAGGAATTTACAAGCAACTAGTAATAAATAGAAGAGCAAAGTAAAATCTGCGGCCTTTAATGGGTTCGGGTCGAACAAGCAACTAATCTAACTTTGTGTCAAAGCGTGAGGTATCACGGCCAAATGAGGGCGTTTTGAGCCGTAATCGTGCTCTTGCATGCCATCAACATTCAACCCTTTACCATGCCGATGTGTATTATTGCGAATCATACAATTAACAAGCGAACCGCTTGCAAATTGCAGGCGATTGCTGATTACCTACGACATTTATATGTAATTAGCCGTTAATGAAGCATATGAATTTGTGTACATACCTGTAATTATCGCTCCACGGCGAAGAAACTTCAGATTTGGTGGACTGCCGATTTGGCCAGGAGGTTTGAGAACAGGCGGATGGGAGTTGAGTGCTTCCGGTCTGGGGGTAAGTCGAGTACTGATCGCTCACTGCACTTCCACCGGTTGCGCTGCAAGAGTAGCTGGAGTTGTACATCCCGTACGTGGCAGCTTGTTGTGCCGCCCAGCTAGCACCATGACCTGCACATAAAGTTTAAGACACACATTAGGACACAAATACACACAAAAGCACGCAAGTTGAGACACATGTTTAAACAAAGAAGTAAAAACTTTCTGCACGGAAAAATGAAATTGCTGTTAACAATTTTATACTTAAAAAAGTGTCCGACATGCCTCGAGATTTCGTAGATTTTACAATAAAAAATTGCTAATTTAATACCTTATCCTGTTTAAGCTTTTTGCCGCAGTTTTTTTGTAAGGGGGCATTTAATTACATCTGAATAGCTCAAATGTGAATGAAGTCATACGAATGGTAAGGAACGCTATTACTTTCAGGCCTTGCAGAGGGACATGAGGGAGACTTTCATGCATTTTACCATCATTTTTTCCATTTATAGTTGTCGCTCAAGCAACGATTTTACAACTAATAATGACTTGATTACTCCTTATCGTATTTATTTTGTGTTCAGGTTCATCATAATGTTGAACTAACATCATGACCTCCATCAAACCGTTTGAATACAAATTTCATAATTCTTGCATGACATTTATGAAGGGCTTGCTGTCGGTATCTTGGATTTCAGTTTAAGAAAGAAAAAAATTAAAATGAAATTCTTCTGTAATTGGAAGGAAGCTACTTTTATGTCGCGAATTACTGCAAATCTTTCCTCGAGGGCACTGCCGGAATAGACCTGAACGAATAGAAAAATCTTCAAATTCATTCTCCAATTTCGATTTGCGTCGAGTCATCTTTGGAGACGAGCTTATCTCGGGTGCCGTGTAGTGGGTGTAATAGGAAGAAGTGTCTCGGAAGCACGTTTGTCATTACAGTCATGATACATGCCGCCTACTACTCACTCGGGGCAGAGATGCAATGGACCATTAAACATAGTGCAAACTTAACAATTTTTACTATTCTTTTCAAAACTTCACGTATACGTGAAGTATACGTAAAAACGGGAAAAACAACTTAGTGCTAAGCCCTAACTGTTTAGATAAAAATGGAGCCAGCTAATTTTTATTTTACAAATCGCATTTTACGCGAAATTAAGATGAGATAACATACATCATGATGCTAAAATTCGCACTTTGTTCAATGGTCCATTCTAATGAAAAATAATTTCGGAGCTTACATCTCTGATGGATGATGACTTCCCACTCATTTTAAAATTCACTCGGGTTTAAGATTGTTTCGAATAAAATAAGGTTATTTAAGTGCTCAGTGTTCGGAACAGAGGGTTTTCGAAGTTGAGCCCACCAAAAAGTCAAAGGACGCGGGGAAAAAAAACTCAAAAGAGGAATATTCAAAGCAGGGAAGCGCGGACAAAATAGTGTCTTTAATTTCGTTTCCACGTGGACAAGACGCCGCGGCGCGCCGCCACACGGGAGCTAATGAGAGTCAGGGATACAAAAGATGGAAACACAAGAGACACTCGGACATTGCGAAAGCCGAGCTGGGCGCTGATCAATCATAAAGGAGGCAGAAGAAGAACAAACACGAGGAGAGGAATAATTAATGACAACAATGCACTACTAATTAGAGTTCTCGGCGCGATTGTGAGTGCGTACCGCCGAGGCTGATGCGTTATTTCTCTCGAGCCCGCTACTCCCGAAAAGCTCTTATCCATTGGTGGATGAGCCGCGATTCTAACAAGAATACTAGAAGTCGAAAGTCCATTTGGAAATCGACATGATTCTTTAAAGCACCGACGCGCTCGGTTGCTGTGTGCTTTGAATTGTCCGACCGAGCTGCAGCTAGGACTTTTGTTTGGGCGGCAAAACGTCCCAATTTGCATACGTCCAAGAGGCGTATAAATACGACGCTTGTTTTCTGACGCCTGAACTTGGCCAATCTCCTTCCTGATTCTCTGGAGAATCGCGTTTTCCATCCAATGACTCGTTTGGCTTGCTGCTAAGAGCCCAAGTTAATTCATATGTGTACAGCATGTCAAGTAAGGGAAATCGACGTTCTAAGCCCTCAGCAGAAAATGTTTCCAGCCTTTTTTATCTTCAGTCACTGATAGATAAAAAATGGTGAAGAAATCGTAATACAAGCTTTCTGCTATACATCCAAAAACTATAAAGATTGAGTGGAACGAGTTTAAGAGAGATAAGCGATTTGTATGACCGGAGAATCCCTAGGAAAAGATTGACCGCCTAAGAGATAGGCAGTACGCTAGCTTTCTTCTCTGACGGATGATTGACTATTTAATTGCTGTTTTAATTGATTTGGCGAGTCCTTTATATTTACCGATTTTTTTGTCTTTGTATAATATTTATGATGTAATAGGCCCGATAGACGGCCTGACAAAAAGAGCTATGTCTTAGTCGCTCGTAGGAGAAAACCTAGAAGAGGAAGGTTAAGAAGAGGAAAGAGAAGAAGAAGAAGAAGAAGAAGACGAAGAAAAAGACATAGAAAAGAATAATAAGACGAGGAAAAGAGGAAGAAAAGAAGAAGAAAAAGACAAAGAATAGGAAGAATTCGAAAAAGAAGACATGGATGAGGAAGAAAACGAAAGAAAGACATAGAAAAAAGAAGAATAAGACAAAGAAAAGAAGAAGAATAGGACAAAGGAAAGAAGAAGAATAAGACAAAGCAAAGAAGAAGAATAAGACAAGGCAAAGAAGAAAAATAAGACAAAACAAAGAAGAAGAATAAGACAAAACCAAGAAGAAGAAGAAGAAGAAGAAGAGTACTTAGAGGAAGAAGAGGACAAGGTGAAGATTCAAATTTGACTTGTCTTCGTGCGTTTTGGTTCACCTTGGTCCGAAATGTGAGAATAGAGCCGCGCGCCGACGCCGACGGACGCCGCGCCGTGCTGTCTTGTCGAGGCTCAAATGATGGGTGCAGAGCGGCTCCGGTGGGTGCGAAAGAGGCGGTCCCTTTCTACTCCCCTGGTGGGTGTCGAAAGCCAAGGCAAAGCAAGGCGATGCATTTATGCTCGAGTCGATTGATGTTGAATATATGAATTTTATTCATTTTTACAGCATTAATAATACATATTACGGGCAACGAATGACTAATTAATAGCCGACTCCGTTTGTAGAATAAACTGCATTCGTGGATAGATAAGGATCGAGCGAGAGTCGGCTGCGGCCGTTATCGAAGGAGCGCTATCGGCTATGTTGACGGGTAGCATCTCCAACCTCGCCACTCGCCAACTCAACAACTCAACTCACCTCTCACTCCTCTTCCAATATTGCCAAATATTCATCTTATTCCTCTCAAATGAACTCTACTTGCACCAAGGGAGCTGATCAAATAGCTTGGAATATTGGCCTTTCCTTGATAACCGACAATGACATCCAATTTCGATTTGTTTAATGAAACAGCGTGCTGATCGTTGAAATTGATAGACAAAGATATGGACAAAGAAGACAAAAGGGGTTTGGAGGGATCCTACTGTTAGAAGCGGGTGGTTGCAATGGAGAGGGGAGGTAGATAATAGACTACCTAACGGAATCCCACGAGAAATACTATTATATACTGCTTAGTCCATTATTTTCTCCCTTAGTCTATCTATAGAACCATCCATTTCAACCAGTAGGTTCTTTCCATACGCTCTATGTCTTCTAATCTTTTTTGTCTATCAATTTCACCAATCAGCCCACAGGAATGTAATCTGTTTCTCCGACCGCGTTTTGATGCAAATTCAAGTTTGGACGCTGTATTGGAGGGAAAACGCGTTTCGGTTTCTTTAAAGGTCCTAAAATTAAAAAAAAAAGGGTTTTAATTGAATTTTCCCCCTTATTTGATCATTTTCTCTTCTGAAGGCATTTCGTTAAAGCTCGCCAGAAATATTTCCACCTTTAGCCTGTCGGTTAGATTCGGGAAGCAACCAGCTAGACTGCACGCGTCTTTAATTGACCGAACCAAGACATAAGATGCGCCACGGGGTCGATTGTAAATTGTATGATTTAAATTTTTCAAAAGGAATCACTAATTTAAATCATGATCCAAACAATTCGACTTGCGACAATCGCCATTATATTTAGCCCATCTTCAAGTAGAAAGACTATTTCAGAACACAGCTGCTTAGACTCATGGGACCGATTCGGCATATCCCTCCTAAAAGAAATGTTTTCAGGAGCAAAAATCGCAAGGGTCAGCAGCTAGACTGAAAGTGGAGGGATTAGGAAATCTATAGCCAACGTAAACTCAAAGCGGGGGAGTACTAGAAGGATCACGGATATCGAGGGTGAGGGGGGCTCGAGGGGAGGGGACCTGGCTCACGAAAATTACACGCCTCACTCGCCTCTACCTACACGTTAGTTAATTTGTGCTCCGAGAAGCTGCGCCCGGACCCGTGGACTATGCGCCTACATGCACACATTTCTCCGCAATATGTACTTTACATGAGGAGTACATGGTCGCTTACATGAAATCCGGTCGGTTTGTCGGGGAATGCCGCCTCGCTTTAATAACCTGCAATTACCGCGGGTAACTTACAAGTTATTGATTACCTAATCAACGAATTCGAATTGATTTCACCCCGATCCGCGCTCTCAGCTGCCCGACGGTTAACGTAAATATGACAGCCGTTTTTAGCACTTAATTATTTAATTTTTAAGGCTCGGCTCTGACCGAATGGTGCTCGCGAATTTGCACGCTTTTCTCCCGCTATTTTATGTCCAATACGCGTCATGATGCTTCGTTGAGATTGAAGCATGAACTTCTTTCTTCTATATCCGCCATTGAGCTGTGAAATGCATTTAATGATTGATAACGCTCATTTTTAAATAAGCAGTTTTTTACTGAAAACTTATGCGCAGCGTTACGTCAGGGTCGACGCGAGCGTTACATCTAGTTTCTACACGTTAAAGTATTGGAACTTACGCTAAAAAAGGTCAAGATGGGAGTAGGACAGGAGGGGGGGGGTGATACAAAAATCCGAAATTCAGCATTCTGTATTTTACGTAAGGCTCCCGAAAAGAGATACATTTTGAAACCAATATTTGTTTAAACATTTCTTGTGTTGAAATGTTTGTTTCAATGTTTCTCTCTTTGGAGCCTTTGTAAAATACGTAACGCTGAAATTCGGATTTTTGTAACCTCCCTCTCATCCTCCGATCTTGACGTTTTTTGCCGTAAGTTCCTATATCCTTTACCCTGTAGAAACACTGAAAAAAATTCCGGCCGTGGAAGCCGTACTTACGGGCTATATAGACTTATAGTCCGCGTTCCGGGCTCAGAGGCCGAAAGTTCCGGGCGTAGCACCCGGAGTAATCGAAGCTCCAGCACCCAGAACTTTCGGTCTCTTGGCCCGGAACGGACGGTATGTCTATACAGCCCGTAACTTTTTTTTCAGTGAACGAGATGACGTAGACAATCAGCTAAAAAAAGCAACGGAGCGACGATGCCCTTGTGGCAAAGGTGCTCAGCCCACACCTCATGCGACAGCAAACAAGGAACGAGCCAGAGCGGCTGTCAACATCCAACGCTGAGTAACTGATAAGGGCTCACCATTCTCCGGCACCACAAACCGGCGACGACGACGACGCCGTTATGCTAATGAGCCAGCAGTGCTTTAATGGCCCACACACCACAAGCAAGCGCACGGACCAGCAAGCCGAGCGACCAACAGGGCGACGGCGCACAGTGGATCGAGTCAATTGGAGAGGTCGGACAGAATTTTGAAACTTTAAACCCTTATAACTCCGTTTACCTATACAAAACTTTTAGATTCTAAAAGTGGTTCCATTGGTTTTCTAGTGAAAATTTCTGTTAGAAACACCCCTTGAAACTTAAAATGTGACGAGATAAACGTCAAAAGCGGTTTCAGTCAAAAATGTGATGTCCGACCTTTCTAATGGACTCGATCAACTGTGCGGCGGCGCGCATTTCCATCGCGCAAAGGGCAGCGCAGCGTGGCGTCCCCGATACCGATATACGGAGCACCCGCAGATGTATTGCGAAATCATTCCGTGATGACAGCTGCCGCGGGGCGTAGCCGACGCCGGCCAATCACCGCTCGTCCGCGTCCCGGCGTCCATCGCGCCCCGCCCCCCTCCTCCGCCCGCTGTCTCTCGCATCCAACTGAGCGGGATCGACCGAGGTAGAGTCACACATGTAGAATTTCTGAGTCACGAAGCTCTACGATTTCAATATCCTGTCATTTAAAAGTTCTTTTTCGGAGATATCACTTTAAGTTTTGTCTAACGATGATTGATGAGCAACTTCACGTTGTTCGGAAAGTCTTCGTCAAGAAAAAAATACTTCCAAGCACTGAAAATAAAGCTCCGGCGGTGAAAGCTGTAATTACGAGCTATATGGACATACTGCCCGTTCTGGGCTCACAGGCCGAAATTTCCGGGTGCTGGAGCCGGAGCTTCGACTACTCTAGGTCCAGTGGCCGGAGCGACGGCTGCTTCACCCATACATAGTAGTGAGGATAGGGAGCGCCAGCGGCAATTTTGCAGGTTGGCAACACTGTTTTACTTCCACTAAAATCCATTAAAACTATCGATTTTAGGTGAGACGAGCTGCATCCTCAAGAATCGATTGTTTTACGTACATTCAAATAGGAAAAACTGTGTTGCCAACTTCCAAGAATCGCAACTAGGGAGCTCTGGTGGAGGGAATTGCCAAGCGGCACGTTAGGCGCCGGTTTGCGCTTGCCGTCGACTTGTCGACACACAACGCTTTTAATTTAATCTATGGATGGCCTGACTAGGTTCGCCTGAATTTAAAAATTAAAGAAAAGGAAGAAAGAAAGATCATGAAAGCACCTAACATGCCATTCTTTGCAATTTCATTTTCCAGCGATGAGACGTTGAACAAATTCTTCTTGCATTTGCCAGATATTAATCCCCAAAATTCACTCTTAGATATTAATTTTTCCACGGATCTTCCGAAGCAAATTTTTAAGCAGTATTTGGTAACTGTCGAAGTGATTCTTTACTAACACACTAATTTTACAAAAATGTAGAAAAGAGATGTCGCAGCAAAAGGTACAAGATAAAGCTTACCTTGTGCGTTGAAATTTCCGGTGGGATCAACTATACTAGAATATTGGCCAGGAAGATTGTGGTACGGTAATGCGGGTAACGACATGGCATTGTAGCCACTCCGTTGTTGACTGTTAGCTTGTTTCCTCAGCCGAGCCCTTCGATTGCTGAACCAAACTTGAACGCGAGCTTCCGTGAGACCAGTCCTGCCAAACATAAAAAGCAAATTTATTACAAAAGGGTTTAAGAATTCACAGTATTATAAGACGGTGAAACTACGAAACCACGCATCTTGTCAGCTGTGTCTAAAATAATTTTCTCAAAATTTGCACCGCACAGAAGAAAAATCATGGAAGTTTTCAAGAGTTGACATTGATTTCATCCGGGGAAATTTGGCAACTCTCGATTGCTCATACGGCGTTTTTCCTTAGTACGGCAGTAAATGCAACGATTTTTCACACCCAAAACTTACGGTCCCTGAATCTGGGAAGGGAGGTTCGTCTGTATTTAGCTCGTAATTATGGTTAGCAGAAGCGGAGATTTTTCTCCAAAATGTTAGCCCATAGGCAGGTAAACAAGCTGGAAAAAGTGCACCCGTGAGGTTGAGTCTAAGTTTAACAAACTGTGATGGAGCAATAGAAAATAGATTACTGCAGACAGAAATTCTTACTCACTTTTGAGCTAGTTCTTCTCTTGTGTAAACGTCCGGGTATTGCGTTCTAAGGAAAGCTCTTTCTAACTCCTCCAACTGTTCTCCCGTAAACGTCGTTCGACTTCTCCGCTGCTTCCTCTTCAAAGGGATCCCTGGTTCTGACTGCGTGTCGTCAAATTCATCATCGCTGCTTGCACCTGCACACAAACAAATCATTCATTTCATGAAGAGCTGTGTCATTTTAATGGGAAATATTGTGAGACAACATTGAAAATTCCAAGGCACCAGTTTTCAAAACGACGGTAGATTTTATGCAAGTCACCAGTGGCGTTTTCTTCCGACACTGAAGATAAAGTTACGGGCTCAGAAGCCGAGAGTTCCGGGTACTGGAGCCGTAGCTTCCGCTACTCCGGATGCTATACCTGGAACTTCCGGCCTGTAAGCCCGGAACGCGGACGGTATGTTATAGCCCGTACACTGAAAAAATACCTGTAGAAGTGGAAGCCGTAATTACGGGCTATAACACTACCGTCCGTTGCGGACTCGCAGAGGCCAACAGTTACGGGTGGAGCAGAAGTCATTAAAGGTAGTGGATCAGTAGAATCAGTGGCATTTCTAAAATACTGACTGTCATTTGCCGTTGTGCGGCGATAGTGAGGTACCCAATAAAAGTGTGAAACACCGAAACAGTTCCAACAAAACAAAAGCGAAAACAAAAACAAAGTCTGTCAGGTCGAGCTCAATCAAGCAAAGGAGAAAGTATTTTTTTCGCGTTCTCTCCGTTTTTTGAGAGGAAACTAAGGAAAGAAGCAAGGAGGGAGAGGCGGGACTTTTGAAAGGCTGAAGTCGCTAGAACTCTCCCATTATGTTTTAAAACAGTTACTCTGAAACAATAAACCAAGTTTTTTCCGTTCTATTGAAGTGTTGGCCCCGTTCATTGCTACCCAGTTTCACGCCTTTGTTGTTTACGATTAGAAGTAGCCAAGACCAAATATTAAAGGTAGACCGTGACTGTAGATCAACAGCCGGGAACAACGAGTTTTGCTGACGATTTCGGACGCGATGGAGACAAAAAGAAATTCCGACCCAAGCATCCCAGGCCTTAAGGTCTGATACTCAACTCTGATGTTTGCCTCTTGATGGAGGAAGAACATCTTCTTAGCGATCGTATGATTAACGACAAGATCACACAATCATCTCTAACAGACGTGAATCAGATATACGCCATGATAACTTTTTAATGTTGTTTAAATGGTTTTCTGTTTTTTCAAAATTAGTTAGCTACACACTTCGGAAATCCGAAAATTCACGAATGTTTCTAAAGTTAGGAGGCAGATGTTGATAAACGTAGGAAGTTTGTATGAATAGACGCACCAAAAATGAGGGGGGCTTAAAAAAAACATTTTTTTGGTTGGAATCCGATAATTCAAAAATTTGGTAGATGCTGGAATCAAACAAAGGGCATTTTCGGCTTGCAGCAAAACAAGGGTGGAAACAACCCCATTGGATACCGGAGGGGGAAAAATTTCCTTCTTTCTCAAGCAAAACAATCAAATGAGCTTTCCATAGCGGTGGGCGGAGAGGGGCATTTAATCGGAAACATCTCGAAATTAGGAAAAGCAATTTTAAACAAATTAATAAACATACAAATACATGTTGCGTTTGATATTGGCTGCTGAATCCGAAAATGATCTGAGTTTTTTTTTTCATCGTGCACAGACTTTCCGAAAAATTGAATTATCTCTGGAAAAGCTCGGTTATTGTAGGGAATGTTCCAATTTTTCCAAGGAAAATGGAACTGATCCGAGAAAACGGAGGTTACTCTTGGAATCAGCGCTATGAATCTACCTCAAATCAATTGCCAGATGTTTGACAGAGTGACCCGTGTGTTGACCAATGTTGGACTGTCTCGGTATGACATGGTACACCGAGAGACTTGAACGCAGGGGTAAGAAAGTAAGACCCTCTTTTTTAATTAAAATTGCTTAGACAATTTATTGGTTAATTTTTGCAGATCTTAGAAAAAGAAAATTCTTGACCAGTTTGATCAGCTTTGGGATACAGTACCACGAGGACAAAATTGAATAATAATTAAATGTATTTACGAAATGCATTGTTGATAAAAGTATAGGTGCAAGTTTTTCTGATTAAAAATTGAAAAACTTGAAGTAGTAATTTTCAGAGGTATTTTCAATATTTCTAATTTTTTTTCTTAGGGTTTTAAGTAATTTCACGTATTACCTCGCACCCGACAAGAAAGTGTGAAGCACTCGAAGACTTGCCTCAGAATCAGGTACACGAGAGTCTAATCTCATGCTCACGTTGAATACAGAGTATTTTGATCCTCTCTTTCGAATCAAGCCCGCCAGTTCTCCTATAAACATTAGTTGGTGCTACTGAGAGATAAGTCCGTAAACTTCCCACCATCTAACAACGCAATTCTGTTCTGATCTCCCCCTGGTTTTAAAGGCCTTCTCTGATCTGACGTAAGTAGCTCTCACGGTGCTCCTCACAAAATTGACGAGAGAAGTAAAAGAACACGCCGCCAAGCGCGTTGCGAGATTTTGTAACGAGTTTTCCCATTTAATCAACATGTTGGAGAAACGGATGATTAAAGTCAACTATCAGACAACTCTGATTCCGGTGCGTATTGCCAACTTAATCTGACAAGAATCCAGAGTCCAATATGGGGGCTTTTTAAGGAGGGAGGGAAACAGTGAAGGGGAGGGTAAAAACGGGTAGCGAGGGAGCGCCCGACAAAAAAAAAACATGAGTCGAAAACGAGCGTAAAGTTTCGCCTTTTTTATGAATCATCGCATGCTATTCAGTCCTATTCAATATCAATGCTTGTATTTATTTCTCGCCTGTTGTTTGCGTATTCAGTTCCTCAAACTATTGCGGACTTTTGAATACGGCGAGGTTATTAATATTATTAGACTTTTAAGTGTGCTCAGATTTGGACCGCGCGTTAAGCAGAAAAGATCCAAGCCACATCTGTAATTGCAAAATTTAATCGGGCTATATAATTTTTTACAAGAAAGCGTTTGTGCGGATCCTTTTGAAGGTTTAAAGGAATTTGCTTCGTAATCAGCAGAAAAGTCACTGAAATTTGCTCAAAATTCCGCACAACTATTTCCATGTCAAAAATTGAATTGCCCAATTAAATTTGGCAATAACTGATGTGGTTTGATCGCTTGGTTCCTCTCTGCTGAACGCGGTCCATTCAGTGCGTATTTATTTTGCATTTATTTAAGTACTGTGTCCTACCGTGACATAATATCTTTAAAGAACTATTTAAGTGCGATCATACCAGCGAGCTGATTATTAAAATTGATAGACATACCTATAGACAAAGAAGACTTAGGGAACAAGGAGGGATCTTATTGGTTGAAGCAGATGGTTGCTAAGGTGAAAAATGATGGACTAGCTATGGATCTCTCGTTGGTTGCCGCTTGTCAGGCTAAAACTTATCTCCTTAGTCTATGGCAACCACCCGCTTCCACCGATACATAGGATTTCTTTAGTTCCGGTTTGTCTTCTTTGTCCATTGCTTTGTCTATCAATCTCAATAATCAGCCCGCAGGAGCGGAGCAGGAAGTACCACGGGGTGACAACATCCTGCGAAGCAAATGGTTGCGTGGCAATATGTTTGCACTACTGACAACCCACCGGCAACGGCAACAAAACTAATCCAGATTTCATGGGAAGATCAAACGAGTCGATTGGTGGTCAATCCCTGGTCCCTCGTGGCGAAAGGTGGAGACAAAAGCCCTCCACCGTTCTAATTATTCTAGAGCTGGATGATTGTTCGCCCCGTAGCGTTGGATGATGCGCTCATCCAAGGCCTGGAAAGGCTACTCAACAGGTGGCTGTTGTGGAAAAGGACTCCCGCGATGTGTTTCATCACTTATAGAACTCGGCTCGCGCCAGGACTTACTTTGAAAGGTTAGCAACCACTGCGTGATGAATCGTTAACTCAATAAATCGTAACCGGGCGAATGGGACAAGGGTGTCATTTGCTAGAGACTCCCAGAATTCCTCCATGCGGGCTGTCCAGGAATCATCATTTTTGAGCAATTGTCAAGTTTTATCTATTTATGAGTAAAAATTCTCGAGAAAATTTCACAAGTTTTTCAAATTATCGAACGAGTATTTAATAAAAAAATATTTTAGAAAAATATTTATCAAGAAAGCATTGATTTAAAGGTGAAATACACAGAGAAAAATCCCTCGGGTAGGTGAACTGAAGGGTTTCGTTGCTCAAACTTCAGGCGTGAGAACTTAACGTTCCCAGAATTCCTCCAAGCGGGCCGTTCAGGAATTATAATTTTTGAGCAATTGTCAAGTTTTATCTATTTGTAAATATAAATTCTTGAGTTAAAATTTCACAAGTTTTTCAAATGATCGAACGAGTTTTTGATAAAGAAATATTTTAGAAAAATATTTATCAAGAAAGCATTGATTTAAAGGTAAAATAGGGCTCAAAAGGATATTGAGGTACGCCCCCTTATGCTCGAGGGACGGCGATTATAGTGTTTGTACGATTATAATTAATGCGTCATAGAAAAACCTAGAAATAAAATTATGCACGTGAAAATAAACCTAAAATGTTTCGTTCAATATAGAGGTTGTAAAAAAGTCTCCATAGTGTTTTATTGTTGTCTTTACTTTTCTAATTATTAATGCTTATTTTTTCTACTAAAACATACTAAGCCGACTGAGCGAAGGGTGTAAAGAGCAATTACCCCAATCATTTTATGAGCCTTGATAAATCAAAGCTCTTGAAATCGAGAGCCTCTCAAAAATGAGAATCCTCCGATCTTTTACTGATGCGACTGACTACCGGAGTGTAAGGATTGAGCGGGTCAAAAAAATACCAGTAAAAATGAGTGTAGCCAAAAAGTGATAAGTTTCCGAGGGACCAAAGAATATGGGATGACGGCTCAAAAATGGTGAAGGAACATGTGCTAGACCTAAAAGGTTGGAGGTGATTGTACCAAGAGATGAAAGAATGAAAGGATTGAAAAGAAAGAGAAAATGGAATAATATATGAGGGTTCAAGTGAGAGACTATTTTTTATCGATCAGAAGGATCCTGTCCTAGGTGATTTTATTTTTACCAGGCTCAAAGTGAGCCGGCTACTACCATGGGTAGGAGACCTGAAGGGCCACCAGGCACGTAATGCGCCGGCTTCTGC